CAATTGCCCAGCAGCGATAACAATAACTCTTAGTTTGTGAGTCCCCCCCCCCCCCCCCCCCCTTCTAGGGCTCACCCGCTTGCCTTAGTTTCGACATCTGATTCCATCTGTATTCGAGATCATGAAGCGTTTAACTGCTGAGTGATAAACAACTCTAGTTACGACGGTTAACTCAAGTGTTTAACTACTGACTAATAAATACCTCTTGTTACTGCCGTTAACTACCTAGTCACTGTGATGAGATAATTCTACTCGGTGCGTTTTCTCTCTTTTGTTTTTCTTCTTTCGAAAGGGCAAAGCCCTTAACTTTTTATTGTATCCTCGATTGGTCGGACCAGACCGTGTTCCTGATTCCGGGAATTTCCTTCTGGATTCGAACTGAATTTCTGTCTGGATTCGAACTGAATTTTCGTCTTTATTCGAACTGAATTTCCGTCTGGATTCGAACTGAATTTCCGTCTGGATTCGAACTTCGTGAACTTAGTGAGTTTAACTACTGAAGTGGTAGGTAACTGTAGTTAGTGCGTTCTGACTACTGAGTGGTAGATAACTCAACTCTGGCTACTACTGTTAACCATTGAGCGAAGCACTAGCAGCAAGGTTCGTTACCACCGACTTCGACTCCAGTTGTACCTCTCGCTAGAGTTATGGAGATCCTAACGCTATTCACATTCTCTGTACTCCGGCCACGTCAGTAAAACAAAAAAGTTGGAAAAACGAGGGCCGTACTACAAGGAATGTATTTTGAAAGATGAACAATCTGTAGCGCAAGCTCAGTACTCACCTCGACTTAATCGTTGTTACGTTACGTAGATACGGAAGGAGCTGGCCAGCCGACAGCGAAAAGTGTATTGCTATTGTTTCTATCGCTCCTGTTCGTGTTGCTATGAACGAGGATAGGTCAATGTGTCAAATCTCTTGTCCTTGTGTACTTCTTCATCAAATCACGATTACGAGACAGAATGACGTCTTCATTCATGTACAGAGAGAGAGAGAGAGAGAGGTTTATTCCAGCGTGTTCTGTGTGGGCGGTTTGCGTATTTTGCCTATACGAGTGGAAGTCGCTTGCATTTGTGAGGGCCAACGCTACCATACTAGACTTTCGTGCTACGCACATCAGGGCATTCCCTAATGCGGTTGTAGATCGAGGTGGGAACCAAGCGGTGCGAGTTGATGTGTGCTACGTGTAGGGAACGCGATGGACGAACAAGTCGGCACGTGGCGTGGGCAATGTATTCCAAAACATGAACACCTGCGGAGGCCGGGAAGCTCACAATTTGATTTCACCCCCCCCCCCCCTCCTTCTTCCGTCCCTCCCTTTTTCTTCTTTTCATTTATGAAAAGGGTAACAGCCTTGAGCTATCCTTATCGAGCTGACCGGCCCTTGGTAGTCCCGAATTGTAGTATTTTAGTCGTCTGCACCCAGCAGGATTCGAACTCCGGTCTGTATTTCAACAGTTCAGTTCAAGGGGGGTGTACCGACTGAGCTAGGCCAGCTGGTGGAGCTGTGGAGCTCACAATTCAACCCCGGAGTGCTGGCGCCATCACCGAGCTTCGGCTTATGCAGAAAATCGGCTCCTTCCTCGGAACAGAACAACAACCGGGGCTAGGTCCCACTTACGCGGATTAAGCGATATTGACCGTATAGCAGCGATCAACGGCTAGAAACTCTTAATCCGTGCAAGTGGGACCATGCCCCCGGATAGAAGGAGAGGAGGTAAGACAAAACAAAGGGAGCCACGAGCTGTTGAAATACAAATCAGATGCCCAGAATAAGGTAATTCTTAATTACCTGGGGTCGGTCACCGGTAATGATGATATCTCAATGCCGTCGTCCTTTAAAAGGAAAAAAGAAGAACTTATCGATGCTACCCAATTCTAGCACTTCTACCAAAGTGAAAAAAAGAAAACAGAGACGTTAAATTGACTAACCCAGAATGACCAAAGAAGCTGACGCCTACGAGATCTCTCTCTCCCTGCCCACCTGTACAAGCGCGGCCTGCCCTGCCGTGAGTTGATTTCCCCCCTCCACCCCCCACCCCCGGTACGTTGAAAGTGCAATTGATTGTCGCACCCTTTTTTCTTTACCCTATCATTTGTCTCGTTTTGGGTGCCCTGCCAACCCCGAGGTCTCAGGAACTAGCCTCCCATGAAACACTTGGGAGCACCGATTTTTTTTTTTTTTTTTTTTTTTTTTTTTTTTTTTTTTTTTTTTTTTTTTTT